ACCCTACAGGAAACTAGAAGGGAAATGGGGCAAGGCAAGGGGGAGGGGGTGATAGAAGGGAAGGTGGATTGGGGGAGGTAAAAAACAGAAGCAAAACACTTTTGAGGATGAACAGGGTGAAAGGACAGAGAGAGTAGAATAAACAAGAGGAAAATAGGATGGAGGGAAACACACAGTAATCATAACTGTAAAAACATTTTTATAGGAAGTTTCTCTGATAAAGATCTCATTTCCCAAATATATAGAGAACTGAGTCAAATTTATAAAAATAAGAGCCATTCCTCAGTTGATAAATAGTCAAAGATACAAACAGGCAGTTTTCAGACAAAGTAATCAAAGCTATCTACAATCATATGAAAAAATGCTCTGTCACTATTGATTAAAGAAATGCAAATTAAAACAACTCTCAGCTACCACACCACACCTACCAAACTGGCTAATATTACAGAAAAGGAAAATGACAAATGTTGGAGTGGATGTAGGACAATTAAGACACTAATGTACTGTTGGTAAAGGTGTATACTGATTCAACCATTCTATAGAGCAATTTGGAAGTATGCCCAAAGGACTATAAAACTATGCATACCTTTGACCAAGCAATACCACTGCTAGGTCTGTATCCCAAAGAGATGAAAACAAAACAAACAAAGAAAAAAGGACCGATACGTGCAATAAAAAAATTAGTAGTTTCAAAGTAACCTAGAAACACTTCTATGAGGTAATGCAGAGTTAAGTGAGAATAAAGGGAGAATAATTTATATGATAAGAACATCATTACATAGACCAATAACTTTGAAAGATGTAATAACTCTGATAAATGCAATGACCAACCACTATGCCAGAAGACTGATGATGAAGCAGGCTATCTACCTCTCAACAAAGAGGTGATGCACTTAAGATGCAGGATAAGACATTTTTACATGGCTAGTGTGGGAATTTATTCCGGATAAATAAATCAATACCTAATTTGCCAAATCACTACCTAACATTCATTATACTACTCACTTCTAGAATGTAGTAAATGTCAAACAAATTTTGGAGAGTGGGTATTAGAGAAATTACTAAGAAGGAAATATCCCTTTGTGATTCTAGATAAATTCTTCTTGACCAGGCACATTTCTTTTAAGCGTTTTGCTTTTCAGTTTCATTTTTTTTCAATGGAGGCAGGAGGAGATGGGAAAAGAAAGTGTTTGCTAATCAAAAAAATAAATAAATAAATACTGCTTTTTAAAAAGAATGTAAGCTCCTTAAAGATAGAAATTGTCCTTTTTTTTTTTGCTTGTATTTGGATTCCTAGTACTTAGCACAATGCCTGGCATATAGTAAGTGCTTAATAAATGCTCTATCTTCTATCTGTCCATCTATCTGTCTTTTTGTCTATCTTCTGTCTCTATTAATAAGCCTGTCAGTCTATCTATCTATCTATTATCTGTCTATCTATCTACCTTTCTATCTATCTATCCTGGAAACATCTTCCAACTGCTACTGAGCCTGATGCCTCTTTCTGTCACTGTCTCTCTGTTGCTGTCTGTCTCTATTTCTCTCTGTCACTGTCTCTCTGTGTTTCTGTCTGTGTCTCTTTGTTGTCTCTCTGTCTGTGTCTGTCTCTGTGTCTGCCTCTGTGCGTCTGTCTCTCTCTGTTTTTGTCTCTGCCTGTCTGTCTCTCTGTCTTTGTCTCCATCTCTCAGCCTTTCCCTGGCTCACATGTCAAAGAGTGATTGATTTATGATTACTTGGAGAAACTTCTAGAACAATAGCGAATTTACTTTGCTCACTGATTCTCCCTTCTGTTTTATTGCCACATAAAGCAGGTAGAATGGTTCATTACTAAGTGTTTCTCAGTTATTTTGCTTATTGGTTATTTCATTTCTTAAAAAACAATGGTTTACTGGCTAAAGATAATGTTACTTAGCACTAAGTAGATATTTTTGCTATGGATAGTCTGGAAGTGGGGAACAGAGACCTGTGGTAACTGATTCCATAAAATTCAAGTGGCTAGAAGACCATCTTCCAGTTTGGCAATCAACAGACTGCTTGGGGGCAGTCTATTGCATTTTATGAACTCTATTTACAACCTATTTTACGCTCTATAACTTTGCTGATACAGAGACCTTTGCCCTATACTAAACCCTCCTGACCTAATCTCATTATCCCTAAGCAGACAGGTTGACTTGGACCCAGAGCCTTTTAATTTTTCTCCATCTGCCAAGCAAGAGAAGGGGAGGAGAGAGACACTTCAAGAGAAGATGATGCTCTGAGCTAGCCCTCCTTCCCAAAGTGTGATCAACAGAGATAAATGTGATCACTTCCTCTCATTCACTGCAAAGAGAAGGATATGAAAAGTATTCCTCACCCATGTGATCTCTGCTGGGAATCACGTATATTTTGTATGCTCAAAATCCCTAAATGGAGCTATGGTCTCATGAATGTGGTGGATTTTTGTCTAATTATGTAGCTAGTATCCATGCTTGTCCTTCCTGTGCATTTATCCCCCATATTTTTCCATAAGCCCACCCCAGGAGGGTTCACCCAACTTTCTGAGGACCCTCCCCACTTTAGCTTTATATTTAAAAGATACTATAGTGTAGCAGTCTGGTTATCTTTTGCGCTAACAATTTGACCATCCCATCCAGTTTTTTGAAAGAAAATGTTTGCTAGTGTAATGGAGTAATACCAGCACAGAGTTCAGGTTGAAGAGGGATTCCCAAAGGATGGCGAAATTCTCTGGATGTTTCTTCTGTGGATGACATTGCGCTGATTTACATAAACACCAGAATACTGCAGACTCCTAGAAAAGCTCTGTAACTAGGGGTGTGCTGGGAAATGTTTAACAACCAGTTCCCGGGGGGGAACATTACAGACACTTAAATTTAATCTGCATTATTAACATTTTCTTCATCACTTTCTTAATTCTATACAATCAACAAGACAATAAATCAGGCCCTGATTTGTAGCTTGTTGATTTTCCAAGGTGTAAATGGTCCTAACAACACTTTTACAATCAGCTCCAGCTAGGCAGTTACCCACTGGCTGCGTCACACACTTGTCACTCAAAAGGGTTTATCCACAACCATCTACATGGGAAAAACCAAGTGGATAAAGAATATTTCTGAAAAAAATTATGAAAAATGTAAAATTTTTACAAAGGACATCAGAGAGGTTCATGGTAAGCAGGCTGTAATATAAAACAAACAATGAATTAAAAGAAGAAATGGAGTAAAGGATGTAGCGAAGGCAATGTAATGTTTTCTGTAGCTTTTTTTAGAAGTTAATTTTTTTTTAACGAACAAAAATCTACTTTCTTTCCTTCATGCATCATGGCAGGGGAAGAGGGGGAGAAAAGTTAAACACTTATAACATATACATATAGTCAAGTTACTGGTTCTTTCTTTTTCTTTCACGTTAGCTAATGGTTTATCTATTTTTAAAAGAACCAGCTCATAGTTTTGTTTGTTAATTCAGTGTGGTTTTTTGGGGGAGTTTTTTGCTTTCAATTTTGTTAATCTCATTCTTGATTTGCATATTTTCTATTTTCGCATTTAATTGGAGTGTTTCTATTTGTTGTTTTGCTAGGTTTTTTTTAAGATGCATGCCCAATTCTTTGATCTATTCTCTCTCTGTCTCTCTTTTGTGATGAAAGTGTTTAGAGAAATAAATTTTCCCCTCTGAACTACTTTGATTGCATCCCCCAAAATTTGGTACACTGTCATTATCTTTAATGAAATTATTTACTGTTTCTTTGATTTGTTCTTTGACCTACTGATATTTCAGGATTGTTTTTTCAGTCTTCAGCTAATTTTCAATTTTTTAAAAAGGTAATTTATTGAATATAATTGTCTGTGGTGCCTTTCTGCAAAAAATGATTTAAAAAAAATCAAAACCACTTTTTGCTGCTGCCTTTTTGAGTTCATCTGAAGAATAACAGACTTTTCTTCAGCTCCTTATTCTTGTAACAAGCATTTATTAAGTGTTTATTATGTGCCTTCAGCTTTGTAATTCATTCTTCCATTCTCTTTCATTTTATGGATATTTATCTCATTCTCAGGGTAGCTAAGTGGCACAGTGGGTAGAGTACCAACCTTGAAGTCTGGAAGACTCATCTTCCTGAATTCTAATCTCATCTCAGACACTTACTAGCTGTGTGACCTCACCCTGTTTTCCTCAGTTTCCTCATCTGTAAAATAAGCTGGAGAAGGAAATGGCAAACGGCTCAGTATCTTTGCCAAGAAAAGCCCAAATGGGGTCATGAAGAGTAGGATGTGACTGAACTGAATAAACAAGAAAAGTATCTCATTCTCATTCATAGCTATGGTCATTAATTGTGTATTTATCTCCATCTTCCTGGCTTTTATTTTTTCCTCTTTTTGCTCTTTGCCATCTCTTTACAAAGAAGAGGATGATGAGAGATGAGCATACCTAGCATGAGTGCTCTGTGATTGAGGCAATCAACTTCTGCCCCTCTTCTCTTTCCCTCAAGGATACCCCAGTCGGATGTTCTTATCTTTTCTTTGATTTTAAAACCCTCTTCATTGTTCACTTTATGAGGTTAAAGTTCATTTCAGGCTAATTCCTCCTTGAATATACCCCTACCTCTGATTCTCCTTCTCTCCCCTCTCCTCCTTGGTTTAAATGATTTTCTGCACACCTGTGTGTATTCTACCATGCCTTGACCAGTGAAAATGAAATTAGGGTCTAAGTGTTCCCCATTTTCTCCATCTAACCTCTTCCTTTTCTCCCTTAGTTTACTCCTTTTTCTTTCCCTTTCTTTTCTTCTTTTATGATCATCAAAACATAATATAACCACTCCTGAATGCTCTGTCTCACTTAACACCTTCTATGACCCTTGATGACATTAACTTTTTGAGGAGACACTTAGGTCATCTCTGCCTTTTAGAATATAAGCACTCCATCCTTGCTTAGTTCCTACTGAGTGCTCACTTGCATTCACCATTTTGTGTTTCTTTTGATTCTCACATTTGTATTTCAGAGTTTTTACTTACCTCTGGTCTTTACATTAGGAATTCTTAGACGTCCTCTGTCTCATTTCAGGGCAGCTGGGTGGTGCAATGGATAGAAAGAATCCTGGGCCTGGAGTCAGGAAGATCTGAATGCAAATCTGGCTCCAGACATTTACTGGCTGTGTGATCTTGGGCAAATCACTCAACTGCTATGAACTTCAGTTCTTTATCTGTAAAATGAGGACACACTGGAGAAAGAAATGTGAAACCACTTTAATGTGTTTGCTAAGAAAACTCCATGCACAAGCCCATGGGGTCATAAAGAGTTGTACATGACTGAACAACAAATATAATTTGAGGTCCGCTTTTAACCCTGTGAGATTTTGTTTCAGTTTGCTAAGTAAAGGATTCTTAGTTGTAAGCCTATATCTTTGGTCTTTTGGAATACTGTATTCCAAAATCTCTGCTCCTTAATAGTTGTGACTGCTAAATCCTGTGTAATCTTGACTGATTCCTAGATACTTGAACCTCTTCTTTCTAGCTGCTTGGAGTAATCTGTCTTTGACCTGGATGCTCTGGATTTTAGCTATGATGTTCCTGGGAATTTTCATTGAGGAGTACATTTGTCCTCTGGTTCTACCACTTCTGGTTAGTTTTCTTTAATGATTTATTCAAATATAATATCCAGGTCCTTTTTTTTTTTTTGGTAATTAATGTCTTTCAGGCAGTAAAATAACTAAAAATATCTCTCTCTTAAAGTTCTTTATAACCTGACCCTTTTCTGTCTTTCCAGTTTTCTTATACCTTACTTCTGTCCATGTACTCTTGCACTCCAGTGACACTGGCCTTCTTGCTATTTCTTGCATGTGCTACCTTTTTTCTGGACTCCAAGCATTTTCACAAGCTGCTCCCCATGCTTGGAATGCTCTCCCTCCTAACCTTCATCTCCTGGACTCCCTGGTCTCCTTTACATCTTTGTTAAATTCCCGTTTTCTGTAAGACTTTCCCAGGCCTTAATCTTAGTGCCTTAACTCTTAGACTGCCCCCAACTTACGCAACACATAGCTTGCTTGTATATATTTGTTTGCATGTTGTCTCCTCCATTGTTAATATGGCTACTTGATAGCAGGAACTGTTTTTTGGCTTTCTTTGAATCCCTAGTACTGAGCATAGTGCCTGGCACATAGTAGGAACTTAATACTAGTTGAATAACTGACCATCTTTCCAGTTCTGTTCCTTTTGATATGATTGATATTTTAAATTCTCTTTTATTTCGTCAGTATTTTGATTTTTGATTTTGTTGTCTTATGGAATCATTGATTTCTTTTTTGGCCCATCCTCATTTTCAAGAAATCTGTTCTTTAAGTAAGACTTTTAACCTTTTATTCTAAGTTCTCAATTGTCCTTCAAGACTTTCCTCTAAAGCTAGCATTTTCTTTCTACTCCTTTCTTCTAAAGCCCTCATTTTATTTATGAAATCACTTAACACTTAAAAACTCTCTTATTTCATTGCTTCCAAAAATTCTAGTTGAACCTATCCCCAAGTTGTGTTTTTCTTTGAGGATTTGCTTGTGGATGCTTTGGAGTTACTCTCTTCTGAGTCTGTGTCTTGGGCATCCCTGCCTCCATAATAGGTGGGATAATAACAATAATAATAATAATAATAATAATAATAATAATAATAATAATAATAACAACAACAACAACAATAATGATGATGACAGTCTTTTTTGTTGTTGTTTACTCATTTTCCCAGCCTTCCCAAATTGGTACTTTATATTAGAGTTGGGCTCTGCATATTTTGGAGGTAAAGCCTGGTTTGTATTTTCTAGGGTCTTGCTGTTACTTTCTTCAGATACAGTGCCATGCTCTTTACTGGACTCAGGGGTAACTCAGCTCTAGGATCTGCAAATTTTCAGTATACCCAAAGCAGCCACATTTAGGGTGAAGTCTGGTCACTGTGCTCTTGGTCTGAGCTTTTTGAGCTCCTGCCCCAAGCTTGGGTCTGGGTGACACAATTGACATACTTGCCCCTAGTTGGATCTCCAGAAGGCTGCGCTTTTTCCAGTTCTTGTCAGTTGGCTGGAAGGCTTGTAGATTTAGAATTGCAGGCTCCCTCTTGATCTGAGTTCTTTGCCCTCTTTACTTAGTGCAGACTTCAGACTGGCCTGGGGGCTAAACATGTAATCCTGCTCTGAGGCAGAACCACTTAGCTGCTATTCTGTTCTGTTCCTGCTTTTCGTCCAGTATACAGCCTCAGACCCACAGCTGCTCTGGTCCCTACGTGCAGATCTCTTCCTCAATCAGCCCTGGATCTGCAGCCCAGTTCTGGGGTCAGAGCAACAGGGCTGCCAGGTGACCCCCATTCCTGTTCCTTAAAGAGACTTATGCCTATCCCTGCTGGATCCAGGACTTCCTTCCCCTCATATACATCTGTAGGGCTCAATTCAGTCTCAGTGATGTAAAGCTCTCTGCAGCTGCCTTCCTAGCAAGACCATGTCCCCAGAACTCTTGTTTCCTTTTGCTGACCTAGGCTGAAAAAATAATCTACTGTGAATTTTCCTTGAGTTTTCCAGTTACAACTTAGTCTGGCACTCTTTCTGGGTCTTTGTTGGAGTTGTCGCAAAGAGCAAAGCTCCATTTCTTCTTCCTGCTCTGCCATCTTTGCTGGTCTTCCATGTAGCTTTTGGAAAAGCCACTTAGTATTTCAAAAGAAGCATTCAAATTTATGTGGTTTTTTTGTTTTGTTTTATTTTTAATTGCTGTAATGATTTCTTCCCTTTTGGGGCAGTGTTTGAGACTGCCAGGGAAGAGATGGTGTCAGCACAGAGGAAGGTAGAGGACAGAATGAGTTAAAAAACAAAGAGGGTTATAAAAAACAGGCCAGCTACTGATTCAGAGAAAAGGTGTCAATGTAAAGCAGGGGCCCAGTAGGGCACAATCTATCAAGAGAAATAAAGGAAAAGTGATCATTTTCCCTAGATGTGTATGATGTTGAAGGACAATATGGTGGAATGGTAATTCAGTGTATTTTAAGGGAAAATAAAACCTAGCAGCAGTGGGATGGAACCACAATCCTTTACCAACTGTATGCCTGTTGTAACTTGCTTTAGTCAACATACCTTCATGTAGGGCTGCTTATCTTAATGTATAAAGGACGTAGTAAGCATATACTTGAAGTGGTCCTGAGCACCTTTGATCAGACTATTTCTACAAGCAGACTTCTTAAAAATTTCTGCCTTCACTACACTTATATGTCTTTCTCATCTTGTGATTTTGATATCTCATCTTAGTTCTTGCCATTGTAGCCAACAATCAAGAGAATTATAGAATTCAAAACATAGTAACATATGTTCTGGACTGTCAGCTTCCAATGACAGTCTTTCTGATTAAAAAAAACCCCTCTTATTCCACACATTTAAAGTTCAACCTTATGCTTTCTACTAACATTTCTACCTCTATTTAAACAGTCCATTTAAAGTCCAAAGGCACAAATGTGAATTCTAGGAATATACTGATCATTTACTCCAGCCCGGGAACGGAAATTTGCCTGAATTAATACACTGGTTATTCCTGACAAATAAATCTTGCATAAAGCCATTCTATGCAACTACTAGACTCTCCTCTTCCCCCTTCTACATCTGGGCTTTCAAAGAATGAGAATGGCTTTAGGGATGTTAGAAATGTAGCGTTTCAGGATGGCTGCCAAGTCCTACCTGTCTCAAATTTTTGTTGCTCACGACCCATTCTATTTGATTTTTATCTCGTGGGGGTCTGTGCATCTGTGACAACTCATTCTGAGTAACAAATGCCTTTGAAGCACCTACTATGTGAACAGGATCATGATGTGTCACTCTTCCTTCCAAGAAATTCCCTCTCATTCTCTTTTTTCTTTTGCTTCTCTTCCTTCCATCTTTGCTTTGGTTACTGTGGCTGGAATAATTCTAATTCAAAGAGGCACCAGAAACTCAAAGTAGGCCTTAAATTAAGGCTGGGTCTAAAACTGGTGGTAGCGCTGTACAATGCAATCAGGTTAGTTCACCACAACCTTCCTCTGGGGTGCAGTCATCCAACATGGAGCCCAAAATGGTGTGGTTAGGTAAACTTCTAGAGAACCGAATACCCCACTTGGATCATCCAGTTACATCGCTCAACTTGAGGTCAATCTTAGTAAGGTCTACCATCTGAATACTCTTTTATTGTTTGGCCAGGAGTCAATCTTACTAATTATCCCAGGTCCTGTGGTATTTCTACATGAAAGCTGGTTACATCCTATTATTCCTGGAATTCTGGAGCCATCGAAGGCCATTCTCAGGGCCCACTTCTCTTGTATTCACTGGCTTTGTCACAGGTGGGACACATAAAGGGCATAAAGCGCCATGGGATAACGATGCTTCCTGTGTTTGTCCAGTATAACAGTATAGAGGTTTACTGTGACACAGGGCTCCTTTTAAAAAGCTGGTCCAAAAGCAAGTCCCTCTTTTCTATGACACAGATCTACTTCATAATATTGCTCCCTAGTTTGATATGTTCTTTTTTTTTTTTTAAGGCATTTGGGGTTAAGTGACTCGCCCAGGGTCACACAGCTAGTGAGTGTCAAGTGTCTGAGACTGAATTTGAACTCAGGTCCTCCTGACTTCAGGGCCGGTGCTCTATCCACTGTGCCACCTAGCTGCCCTAATATGTTCTGATAGATTAAAGGTTGTAATTGCTCTCCCTCCCCAGCATTTTTAGCCCTTTCTTGGAATTTAGTGGATTATTTTAAAATAAATCACTTATTTTCTAGATTAAATTAGAACAGTACACCAGAACCATAGCTCTAGAGCTAAAAGGAGCCTTAAATATAATCTAGGCCGACTCCCTCATTGTATAATTAGAAAAGTAAGACCCCAAAAGATTAAAAGCTTTGCCCAATGTCTCACAGGCAGTAAACGCCAAAGTTGGGGATGTAAACCCAGGCCAATGACTCCAATTCCAGCCCCTTATTCTATTACTATATACTTAAGGGTGTTCCCTTGTTTTAAGAAAATTTGATACAGAATGTAAAAATCAAAATTAGATTTCCTAAACAGGTAAATGAAAAGGTGACCATTTTCATCATGATATGATTCTTTCCATTTATTTAAGGGTTCCTTTAAAGAGTGGTTCCCCTTGTGCATTTAGGTTTTCGTCTTGCAGACATAAAATGTTAGAACCGAAACTTTATGCTAATTGGGAAAAGGAGTAGACATATACAAATTTAACTAACAAAATGCTGCAGAAACACGTGTAAGTTGGGATACTCTTCTAGGGAGAAGTGACTCTACAGCTTCCAAAAAGGCAGCGTAGGATAGTAACAAAGAATAAAACAGCAGATTCTGAATGAGAAGACCCCAACTCTAATCCTGTCTATTTTTCTGAACACTTGTGTGATCTTGGGCAAGTCACTTAAGTGCTGTAGGCCTCAGTTTCCTCATCTGAAAATTAGAGGGTTGGACTAAAAACCTCAGAGGTGCCTTTCAGATCTAAAATTGTATGATTCCCTGAGATCATCAGTAATGATCTGAAGTTACCATTATAGAATTAAAGTCATCAAAAAGTTCTGGATCATGATGGATGAAGATGCAAATAAAGGAAAGGTCTCTAAAACTTAAAAGGAAAAAGACATCAAATGGAAAATTGTTGAACAGTGACAGCTAACCAAGAAAGCACTTTGTACATACGTTGCAGATCTCAGGCCTATTTTCTTCTTCTTCTGGTCCTGATCTGTAATTTTAACAGCCTCTACTGATTTGATTCAGTAGCTCAGTCTCTGTTTTAGAGTCTTATAGTTGGGAGGGCTGAGGGGTTAACTGATCTGTCTTCGGTCACACAGCTTCAACAGCGAACCTTAGTAAATGAGAACAAAAAATTACAAAAGCACAAACTAAGGAAGTTATTCCCTGATTGTTGCATGTTCTGGGGCACTTTTGCAAGGATAGAAAATATCTGCCTTCCTGTTCTCACAAAACTACAATTTGGCTAATTATATTTTCTCTACATAATATGATTCCTACTAGGATTAAGATTACACACAGCATATCTGACTTCTTGTCCTCCAACATGCTATTTTAATTGAAGGGAGATCTGTATCTACATGGTTATGGAGCTATATATAAGTTTTCTTGGAGTAAAAGTTATAAATAAGAGATTATTAGTATTCATTCAAAACTTATCCTAGAAAACACACAGTTCATTTCTTTTAAAAGATGTTATTGCCAGAACCAGGTTAAATACATAACTCCTCTAGTATGGTGTGAATACTGTACTTGTTTAAACTGTAACCAGTAAGGCTTTTTTTTTAAAGTATAAAGTGTTACACAACTTCAATAATGGTCGGTTATTCATGGTCTTTTTTCCATTTCCAATCCAGTTCCTCAGGGGATAAATTATAACCTCAAAGGCCAAGTGGTTGATCATAAGGGAATGACATTTCTGCTTAGAAAAAGTGTTACAATTTGAAATCATACAAGCATCAAAAGATAAAATCTAAGCAGTTTCATAATAATTTGTTTTTCAATCAAAGACCTATCACACAACATTAATTCTATATGCAGCATTTGGGAGGTGGGATTTCAAGGGAAAATAATTTAATACCTAATACCAAGAACGGGTCAATGTCCTTACTGTGGAGAGGCAGTCTGATGCAATGATCAAAGTATCAGGCTTTGAGTCAAGGGACTTGTTTTTGATTCTGGGCTCTGACATGGACTAGCCATATGAATCTGAGTAAGTCACTTCACTGCTGTGTATCAGTTTCCTCAGATTGTAAAAAGGGGATAATAATATCTGTACTTCAGAGGAGTGAGATGAGGAAAACATTATGCAGGCTATTATTATTATTATCGCAGAATGGGAAGTAAGCACATTAATAACCTATGCTCCTATTACACATCTATTTCCAAAGCTAATTATTTATTGGAACAAAAGGTCTTGCCTTGATTGAAACTGGTAGAAAGTAGAAGTTCTGGCTGTTAATAAAAGGAAGTACAGGCTTTAAATGTGAAGAATGATCTGATGAACCCAAAGAGAGTTTAATTTTCTGATTAAAAACACAGAATAGCCTACAATCCTGTGCATCCTTCTTTGGCTTTCACAGTGATGACAATAAGAATTGCAACTTTTAAACTATGTATAAATATGAATTCATTTACTGACTAATTGATTTAGTGAATCAATTTTATTATAATTGCTTAATAAAAACTCACAACCACTCCAGAGATTGGCCTGACAATTCATATGGGAAGATCCAAATGCACCCAAAAGAGTCTATCGTACAGACTACACCATAAGTTGGGCTGTTTATTGAGTTTGTCCAACAGTACCTATACTTTGGACAGATATTGCAATTAAATAATGAGCTGTCCCCACAATGAGAAAGTAGGAAGACAGCAGGCTGTATTGTATTTGAGAACCTGCACAACACTTTTCAACGATCCCAAACTATCCTTGTAACAAAGCCCCATCTTTTTTATCTCAATACTTTCCCCAGTGATTCTGGGATACCACCAGCATCATGGAATACCACACCTTCCAAAAAAATCAAATTACAGGTGGCCCAAAGGACAATGGAGAGGCACATGGTGAACAGGCTGCTGCATAAAACAAATGATCACTTATGTTCAAGAAAGGGTATAAGGGAGAACATTTGGCAAAATGTATGAACTGAAAAAGAGTAGGCTGATCATGCCTTGATAAGCAAGGGATAAGGAAAGGGAGTTTGACACACTCATTAGTGCCCACAAAATGTTAAAAGACCAAAGGAAACCCTCTAGTGATTTCCATGGATACTTTTTGGAAGACAATGACAAGAATCACCAACAATGCTTGTGAGTTTTCTTTTTCAATTGTTCAATAGGAATGCAGTGGGAAGGAGAACTGATGGTGATGATAAAGAAAAAGTGAGGAAGATCTGCCTATGTTGGGTGGATGTCCTGGTGTGAACTTATGGATAGGACAGGACAGGCAGGCCTGGATGGGTTGCTGCCTTTATTATTGGAGGGCACATTCACATCTCAGATCCAATGGAGTCTAAACACAGGGTTCAGAGTGCTCAGCTGATCCTGATCCATTCCCTAGTTGACAGAAGAGGAAATGGCATTTTATAGTCACCATTTGTGATCTTTAAAAATCTTCACGACAAAAGATCAAGATAATTTTAATAATATTACATAGATCAAGATTGGTTACTTTCTTTTTTAAAAAATAAACTTTTATGGATATCCCTTTCTTCCCTCCTCACTCCTAGGGTTATCCCATATAACAAAGAATAACTTTTTAAAAAAGAGAAAAAAAACCCATTAGCAAAACCAATCAATACAGCCCCCCAAAAAATATTCTGGAAGTATACCTATATATAGGTACACACCCATGGACCTCCCGCCTCCTGTTTATTTTATAGCTGTTTCCATGCAAGTTGCTGTTGTCTGACCACCATTTTTCATCCATGAGGGGCCGTTCTTTTTCTAACTTTTTAGTCAGTTGACTCCACAATTTTAAGCCCTTAATTCTTCTTCTTTCCTCCTCTTGTCTTTCCTTTTCAGTATTTCACCCTCTGTTGCTTCTGCCAAAGTCCTATTTTAGACAAATTGGGGCCAAATCCTTGCAAGGCTATTATCTGCAATGTCAAACAACTCAAGGCATGACTTAATCAGGCTGCTAGCACAGTGTATCTCACCTAACCATGTTTCAGAAACCCTCCACTGACTGCTGGGGCTGGGATAAGGCATTGCTCAGGTACAAATAAAGTTACCAGAAACTAAAAAAAACCAACTGTCCCCTTTAGGTATTAAGTGAGCACTGCTCCTCCCTCTCCCTTCCACATCCATTAGTCTAGGACTTGGGGACCCTGGCATTACATTGTAATGAAGAGAGTACCAGAATGTTAATCAGAGTATTTTAATCAGAGTTCAGAGGTTGGCTCTGCCAGTCATTGTGTGACTCCGGGCAGATCACTCCTTTGGGCCTCTCCTTCCCCATCTGCAAAACAAGGGCAGGGGGTGGCTTAGATGATCTCTAAGAGTGTTTCTAGCTCTATGCCCTATACTTCTAGGGCTTCAGGTCCTTTAGTCAACTATTGGAAGGGCGGTTGAATGCATGTAAAGAAGGAGAAAAGAGCTAGAGTGGTGGTTTTTCTTTTAGACTATTTCATCACCCATCTCCCATCTCCAAGCCTTTGCCCAGGCTGCCCCCCATGCCTGGAATATACTGCCTCCTTAAATTTCCTTTTAGAATCCCTCATTTTCTTCAAAATTCAGCTCATGAGCCATGTTCTGCATTAAACTTTTCCTGCTGGTACCTCCCCAAGGAGCTCACAATTTAATGGGGGAGACAAGAAGCAAACAAATACGTACAAAAAAAGCTGTAAGCAGGATAAACAGGAAATAATTAACAGATGGAAGGCACTAGAATTAGGAAGGGTAGGAAAGACTTTCTGTAGAAATGTGCTTTTAGCTGGAACTTAAAGGAAGCTAGAGAAGCCAGTAGGAAGAGATGAGGAGAGGGAGCTTTCTAAGCATGGAGGACAGTTAGAGAAAAATGTCTGGAGCCCAGAGATGGAGGGTTTGGTTGTGGAACAGCTGGGAAGCCAGCTTCACTGGACCCAAGAGTATCTGTTAGGGAGTAAGGAGTAAGAAGACTGGCAAGGAAGGAACTAGGTAATGAAGGGCTTTGAAAGCCAAACAGAGCATTTTATATTGGTTCCTGGAGACAACAGGAGCTACAGGAGTTTATTGAGTAGGGATGATGGCCTGGTCATCTGCACTTTAGAATAATCACTTTGGTGGCTGGAGGATGAATTGGAGTGGGATACTTCAAGGATTCAATTAAAAGTATTTATTAAGTGCCTACTGTATGCTACATCTTATAAACGAAGCCATCGGGGACAATGTTTACACTGATAAAGGAATCCAAAATGCCCCAAACACACAAAAGCTTCCTAGGGGAGGGGGAGTAGGGACCAGGAACCAGGAGAAACCTCTTGTAGGAGGTGGCCCTTGAACAAGCCACCTTTGTCTGTGTCCTTTCTAAAACTTCCTGCCAATTAGGACAGACTGGGGAGTCTGGTTTTGAGATCTTCCTCCGGCAGTGTCTGGTGAAGCCCGTGGACGTCTCTGAACAGTGTTTGTAAGAGCACAAAACAAACTTTGTAGGACCACAAAAGAAACAAATGACTTTGAACTAGTTATTTTGAAATAATTACAATATGTCAAACCCAAGTTCGGGGTCCTTGAGGGCAGCTACTCTGTCTGGTCTCTCTTGGTCGTGCCCTCGATTAGCACAGTGCCTGACACATAGTAGCCACATAACACACGCTTGATGGCTGCCATGACTTGCCCAAAGTTACGCAAAAGTAGAGTGTGCGCTTCCCAAGGTCCGCTGCACAGCACGCTGCTAGGCCCAGAGTAGGTGCTTAATAATTGCCTGTTTGTTACCTACATCCGCATGCAAACCCAGGCCTTCGGCCTCCCACTCCGGGGCGCATCCCGCTCCATCGTGCTGCGCCTTTCTGAGTTACGCTTCAGTTGAAGTCAGACCCTCTGGAGCTCAGCGGCTCCCGACTCAGTGGCACAGTCAGCCTGGACCAAAGACAGAAAGGCCCCGGCAAGCCCTTCCCTCCTTCTGCAGGCTGGTTCCCCGGCGCGCACGCGCACGCGTCCCCAGCCGAGCCCAGACTCCAACGTGCAGAGCCACGTGCAGCCAGAAGTGGGAGGGGGGAAAAGAGGACTCGGAGCTCGCGGGGGCCTGGGGGTGGGGACGCCCCGGAGGAGTTCGGTGCGCGAGGCCCCGGCGGAGAGGGGGGCGGGGCGGATCGAGGCGAAGGACGAGGTGGAGGGGGCGGGAAATACAGGGAGGGAGAGGAGGCGGAGCCTGCGGAGGCCCCGCCTCGCCATTGGCTGAGCCCCCTCCATGCGGAGGCCAACGTGACCGTCCCCGGCGGTGGCGGAGGTGATCCGGTTGAGAAGTTCTCGGCCTACCCTTGGCCCGCGGTGTTCGCGGGCTGGGGGCACCTGACAGCCCCACCCCCTCCTCCGCCCCTCCTGGTGATAAGCCGCCAGGCCGAGGGAGCCCGGCGGCATCCTGGACACTCACAGCTGGAGGGGTCTCAGAGGCCACCTAGCCCGGCCCCCTCGTTTTAACAGAGGGGGAAACTGAGGCCCACTGAGCCAAACTGACTCGCCCAAGGTCACACAGATCTTAGGTGGGTCCCAGGCGCAGAGCCGGAAGGAACCTTCGAGTCCATCGAGGCTCACCTTCTTCATCACAGATGAGGAAACTGAGGCCCAGGTCGCATGGCCAAGCCAGGCGGTTATTGCAGCCTGCGCGTCCGTCGGGTGCAAATACAAACAGGGCGCGGGGGAGCTGCTGGGGAGGGCATCCTCATCCCGGGAAGGGACGTCGACCTTGCACCTCCCGACGGGCCCAGCCTTGGAAGCCGGGTCATTAATTCATTCCGAGCACTCGTCTGCCCTGGCTTTGGAAATGAGGTTTCCACTCTGTCTTCCTCGTTCGGCCGAGTCAGAGGCAGAGGAAGCAAGATTGTGCCTCACTGACTCCCCCCTCCCCCCAATTTTCTCTTCTAGGGATTCTTGTAAAACCAAAGAATGCAGGCACGATTGGGGTTGTTCAGAGTGCGCTGTCTATTCCTTAGTCTCGTCGATCGCTAGAATGCTACTTAAATAAAAGCTCAGGACAAGGGTGAAGAACGACTTCACTGAAGGGGACGCCTAATTTAGCCATCTTAGGTAATAATACCCTACCTCCATGTGCCTGGCCTTTCCTCTTGGCCCCCAAGTATTACCCCTGCAGAGTTTAGAGAGTACTTTCCATAGGCATCTCATTTGACCTCGATCTCACCTTTTTCCTACCAGTAACCACTTTAAGATCCTGTTGCTACAGGAGTTCAGGGGGGAAAAAAAATCCATTTGTAATATTAGTTAGAAGTGCCTGACCACACCCTGACTCCCACAGCGTTGAGTAAATTAGATTACTGTTCTGTCTGGGGGGAAAAAAAACCTGCCACTAAAACTGGGAAGGAGGGAAGGGGTTGGGGGAACACCAGCTGGGTTCTTTTTAGGAGTGCAAGTGATAGTTCTGTTTATGATCTGTTTATTAAACATTTATATTGCTAGGATGTGGTTAGCTTTTGTAATGATACTACTGTTTTATGGTATCTATGCTGTCTTGCATCCATATAAATAATTAAATTCTGACCTCTAGGATAAAGTGGCAGATTTTCCTATTGGAGAATGATGGGATTAAAGCAAAATCATTGTGCATTTTAAAAAAAAATTTGTTATTTTAAAATGCTTAAAATTTGTAGAGATGAGGAATACCAGGATATGATGTTTTGTAGGGACACCTTTTAAATTTAAGAACAGATGTATATTATTATATATATTGCATATATATAGATAGATATATGTATATATATCTATCTATATATACAGTTTCTTGAATAAGGATCCAACAAAGTAGAGAGGGTGAGGATGTCATTAGGCACACTATTTCAAATCCATCAACTATATATCAGTCACCTATTATATGTCCTAACTGTTTTTTTCTTGAGGAGTTAAGCCTTACATCATTTGTTCTGAGACACATTTTGGGCCCCCCTGAATGTTTAAATCCACTGGTTCTTTGTTTTACTCTATTTTATTTTTTTCTCAATTACCTGCAAACAAAAACATTTTAACATTCATTTTTAAAAATTTTGAGTTCCAAATTCTTTCCCTTTCAACCCTCCTCCCTCCTTGAGAAGGCAAGCAATTTGATATAGATTAAATATGTGCAGTCATGCAAAATAAAACTACTAGTTCCTTAAGCATCCTTAGTAATTTCTGATATTTATTTCAAATGATAGAATCAATTTTTAAAATGTTTTAGATAGTGGCCAAAACTGATGGTTCCTTAAAATCCACTGGCTTAAGTCAGAGAAGGAATCGAAAGTTCAAAGATAACTGAGATATTTTGAGTCTTATAAAATTGATATTGTATAATGAGTACTTTTAAAATCCCGAAATTGACATTAGGAAAATAAAACCAAGTGTATATATATTTTTTGCTTGTTTTAAGTAAGTCACCAAATAATAGTGAAGTAATTGTGGGAAAGTAGAAAGAATGGACCTATGATTTCAGGCAAGACTTGAAACTCAGGTCTCTAAGACCAGCTTAAGCCACCATGCCATAGTAGAAAATCATTCCTGGACAAAACAAAATTCTCACACCATTGGAGCTTCAGATAAAGTGATTCTATGTCCTTTGCTTTGCATAATGATTGCATGATAAATATCCTTTGTTTCCTATGGACATTAAACACGAATAGGCAATTGAGTTTTGTGATTTATTGAATATCATAAAAATAGGATTTCCATGTCTAACCTTGGACAATTAACTTATAGAACTCAGTTTCCTCATCCACAAAGTGAAGGAAAATAGATAATCTCTAAGATCTCTTCTATGTATGAAATTCTCTGACTTGATAGTCAATTAAATTTGACCACTTACTGTTTTGTTAAATGATGTCATTTCCAATTGACTGACGTGAACATCAATGGATCATTGGCATCCTGGAAGGAAGTCTCTAATAGAGTACTACACAACTTTGTCGTGGGCCTTATTCTGTTAGACATCTTTATCAGTAACTTGGGTAAAGGTATAGTTGGAATACTAATCAGATTTGCAGATGACATGAAGCTGTGAGGGATGTTGGATGACAAAATTGGCATCCCAAAAGACCTCAAAAGCTTAGAAAGATGGGCCAAAAATAATGTGAAATTTAATTTGAATATGTGTAAACTTGTACTTTTTTTTTTAATTGCATATACAAATACAGGATGGAGGAGATATGGCTAGAAGTTTTGTGCAAAAAAGACCTAGGGCTTTGAGTGGATTGCAAACACGGCATGCGTTAGCAGTATATCATGGCAGCTCAAAAACCTCATGTGATCTTAGGTTGCCTTGGAGACTTCACTAGCCATTTTTGTGCCTGAGGCAGATCTCTGGACACCTTGAGGCCACTCCTGGAGAAGGTTGGCCAGGGCCAACGGGACCTCACCTGGGCTATTGCCAAGGAGGTGAGGAAGCAAGTTGTTTTCCTATTTTAATTCTTTTTCCTAACAAGGTGCCAAGTTGTTTCAGTTGTTAATAACCACTGAAAGACAAGTATTGTTAGTGCCTTCTAAATTACAGCGTGTTTGGGAGAGCTCGGGATGTCTCACCCCAGATGTGGCTCTGCCATTAGGAGCTGTTTAGCAGCCATATCAAGAGACCTGGTAGTCCTCCTTCCACTCTGACTTGGTCAGATCTTATCAGGAATATTGTATCCAGTTCTGGTACCACATTTGAGAAAGAGGATTGACAAGCTGCAGCACTTTGAGAGAAAAGCAATCAGAGTAGTAGGGGACTTGACACCAAACCAAAGATGGAAAAATGTTTTCAAAATATAGGGTTGTCATGAGGAAGACAGATCAGACTTCATCTTGCCTGAAGGGCAGAACTAGGACTCATGAATTATAGCGCTTGTTACAGGTAGAGGTTACATGGAGGCAGACTTTGACAGCATTAAAAAAAACTCCATTAGTGTCAAAGATTAAGAGCTGGAAAGAACCTTTGAGGTGATTGCTTCTAACTCTTTCATTTTACAGATGAAGAAACCGAGTCTGAGCATAGTTAAGTGACTTGTCCAGAGTCACACAGCTAGTAGTTGTATACAAAAGTGGAATGGATTATGGGGGTGGGGGGTGGTATTGTGTTTCCTGTTATTGGAGGCTACAGGTTGGAAAAGGTTGTTTTTGGAGATACTGTAGATGACAAAGCATTGGACCAGATGCCTTCTGAAGTCTCTTTCCATTCTGTGATCCAGTAACAACTCCTCCCTAACCCCAATATGACAACTTATTTTGAAATATCAACATTGGAGACAGAATGTGGAAAAGGTTATGATCATAACACTGGGCTTTTTGCCTTAATTTTACCTTGATGAAGCAATCAAGTATGTAAGTGCCTGGCACTGAGCTAGGCTTACGGGATTCAAACACAAAGAAACGGTCCTTATTCATAAAGACTCATTTCTAACATTAACCCTAATTCCTGAGAGGTCACCCCTTTATTTTCGTTGCTTTGATTCCAAAATACTCACTTTGTATTTGTATTTTTCATATGCTACTTTCTAAGTGCATTTTAATTAAGGTCACATGTGTGTGATACATATCAGCAAAAATAAATTCTGGAGAGACGAGTGACTACTTTTTCTTTATGCTTTTCCTGCATTGCATGAACAGTACAGGATAGAGTGGACACCGATATTTTGAACTGACGTCACAGTCTTGTGATTAAAGGACCGAGAATCAGGAGATCGGGGTCCTAGCCCCTACTCTAACACTGACTCAGTTAATAGAATGGGGATATTATTATTCGAATCTAGCTAGATATCCAGGGGTGATGTGAGGAGAGGTGAAATATGTGAAAATATTGATTTTGTTTTGGAGAAAGGTGTTACTGTTTTGTAATGTTATACTAATTCATGGAAGTACTACAGTATCTAAATTAGTCTCAAAAGGTTGCCTAATATATAAATGTGTCAGTAATTATAGAATTTTTGAGTAGGTAGGGTCTAGAGATCATCTTTGCCAGGATCCACATTTTTCAGAGAAGGAAACAGGCCCCAGAGAATTTGTGACTTGCTTAGGGTAGCACAGCTAGTTAGTGGAAAAGCTGGAACTAGAACCTTGGTCTCCCGAGTTGGGTATTCCAGCATGGGACTCTTCGCAAGTCTGGTGCTTAAATACTACTTGAGAGTTGCT